TTTCTTCCTGAGCCTTTGTATTGAGTTTAGAGTAATTAAGTTTTGAAGCTCTTCCTGTTAATAGCAGGTTTTGTAGATCCTCCCTTTTCCTGACATTTTATTGGATATCTTTAGAATAGTGGCATTGAGAATAGTGCCTCTCTTTTCAGAAATGCAGAATCTGTATTCATTTTTAGCATTTAAAATAGAATTGTTAGCATTTTTTAAAAAACATATTTTTAGTTGTTGATGGACACAATACCTTTATTTTGTTTAGCTTTTTTTATGTGGTGCTGGGAATCGAACCCAGTGACTCACCTGTGCTGGGCAAGCACTCTACCATTGAACCGCAATCCCAGCCCTCTTCAGCATTTTGTAGACTTGTGATAAAAAAAATTATATATATATATTCTTAGGTCTGAGTTTCTTTTCGAACTGTAGTTTTTCAAGCCTTTCTTGTCTGGGGTTCTATGAGGGGAGTAGTAAGTCCTACAGGATATGTGATTTGAGTGAGGTCAGGTTCTCTTGAGGATGGTACTTAGTACCATTCTACATGTACCATTCTACATGGTTGGAGAGAAATTGATTCACTACATACAAAGAATGCCTTGGGGCATTTCTAATTCTGTTGAGAACCCAGTTGAAAAGGGTCAGGAGGGTCATGAAATCAATTTAATGGGTCACCTGCATTTTAAAAAAAACATGAAATAGAATAAAATAGAAAAATAGAGAATATCACATAGTAAGATTAATTAATCTCCATTTTGATGTTGCCAGTTAACATTGTTTGAAGGCCCAAATAATCTGGGGTCATAATTTTTTAAAAAACATACCTACTAAGATGAGAAAAAAGTAAAGTCTTGTACTTATTCAGATTAAAAATTTTGACATTTCAGTGAAAATACATTTATGACATTGAGGATTCTACATAGTTGCATATTAAATGTTTTGAACACCACAGAATTTGTGTGTGTGTGTGTGTGTGTGTGTGTGTGTGTGTGAGAGAGAGAGAGAGAGAGAGAGAGAGAGAGAGAGAGAGAAATATATATACACACACATATATATGTATATATATTATAATATATATATATTTGAAGTCCTGGGAATTAACAGGATTTTTATCAGCTTTTTCCTTTTAAGTTATGAGGGGACTGACAGACTAATAGTTTCACATGAAGAATGTAAGATAATAGTTGCACATTTATTTTTAAGAACATGATCCTTTGCTTTTCCTGTGAGTATTTTTAAGCACTTCAAACCTAAAATCGGCTTTGTAAGGTAGGTGGTATGATCTTTCAGTCTGTGGGAACAGCAGGCATTGCTGTGACTCCTGAAAATCCATTTTTGATAAGTTAGTACAGATGCTTAGATCATATTGTCCCAGTTTTGCATTAGGTTGATTAATTCTAATGATTACAATGAAGTGAGGCTCAAGACTAAGCCTTAAAATCTCATAAGTAGCTATTTGTTACCTTGTAATACTATTCCGTTTGAGTTGTTGAGACACTCGTTCACAACATGTTGGAAGTATTGAAACCTGATGCTGTACAGAGGGATTTGGTTTCTTCAGTAAGAGTTGTTGGCAGCTGTATAGTAGGGTGTCTTTTTTATACTTCTGAAAATCATTTATTGGACACTTGAATGGCTTGTGTATTAAAAAGACCTGACATATATATTCACTTTGTACCCAAAAAATTATTTCCTAGGTATGTATCCAGTCATGTGTTTGGTAAGCTTGATGATTTATGTTGGGCTAGTATAAAGTAATGTGCACTATATTTTACTTCTTACATAATCATTCCATTAGGATGATAGACTGTTAAATTTATGAACCTACTTACTGTCTTAGGGATACAAAAATTAATCTTTATCATTTTTAGTGCCTTTTAAATTATTTTAATAAATAATTTCCATATATTTTTTAAAAAGCTTTATTCTTTGGAAATTCCTTCAGTATTTTGAAGCATTTTGTCTTTAGGACTTTGAGATTATATTATTTACCTGGATGCCATAATGAAAAACTAGAGTGTCTATCCAAAACCAAAGTTTATTATTGAGCATTTGTCTAGGACTTCTAAAGGTTTTGGTTTATTTTTGTTGGTACAGATTGGAATATTTGTATGAGAACAGTGGTGCTGAGTGGGTGGAATTGCTTTTGTATTTAAAAAGTGGTGACTTTTTTGTAAATAAGTCAAGTGCTCTAAATTATTTATTATTATGAGACTAATGTGCATTATATTACCAAAGCACAATGTTTTTTTACTAGAAAATCCAATTATCAGAGAGTCATGTGTATAAAGACCTTAATAAGATGCAGAAATTTAGAGAAACTTTTTTTTTAAAATATTTATTTATTTATTAGTTATTGGCGGACACAACATCTTTGTTTGTATGTGGTGCTGAGGATCGAACCCGGGCCGCACGCATGCCAGGCGAGCGCGCTACCTCTTGAGCCACATCCCTAGCCCCTAGAGAAACTTTTGTAAAACACATTTTCTAAAGTTTTTTAATTACTAAAATTTTTACTTATTAAAAATTAACTGCACCTCACATTCCACCATCATTGCTAACCCCCTGCCCCCTCTCCTCCCCTCCTCACCCCTCTGCCCTATCTAGAGTTTGTCTGTTCCTCCCATGCTTCCCCTCCCTACCCCACTGTGAGTCAGTCACCGTATATCAGAGAAAACATTCAGCATTTGTTTTTTTGGGATTGGCTAACTTCATTTAGCATTATATTCTCCAACTCCACCCATTTACCTGCAAATGCCATGATTTTATTCTCTTTTATTGCTGAATAATATTCCATTGTGTATATATGCCACATTTTTTAATCCATTCATCTACTGAAGGGCATAGGTTAGTTCCAAAGTACATGTATGAAGACATGAATTGGTGTGAACATAGTTTATATACAAACAGATATGAAACATTATGCTTTATATGTGTAATAAGAATTGAAATGCATTTCGCTGTCATGTATTTAAAAAAATAAGATCAATTAAAAATAAATAAATAAATAAATAAATATTAAAGACAAAATTAAAAAAATAACTGTACATTTTAGGGTTGTTTAAATTTTGCTTTCCTAGCTATTATTTGGAGTTTTATGACTTTAAAGAATCTTTGGAATGAAATAATATGTCTGAAATTTTGCTTCCGTGTGTGAAGTGAAATGCCATCTATTCATTTTGGGGTAGTTAATGGTGGGGAAGATGAGCAATAAATGCATTTAGAAATGTTAAGGCTCTAACTTAAGCTACTAAGTGATCATCTCTCCATTACCAAATCACATAATGTGTTTTATTTTAATGTTTAAATTAAATTTAAATTCCCATGTTGAAATGTGAGAGATGAAAGTCAATAGATGGCTCATATCTTGGTTATCTAATTTTTATTCCTGATCAGTAGCATTACTGCTGTGTCATTTAATTTTATATATATTTTTAAAAACCTAATTTGTATGTTGATACAAATGCAGACTAAATCAGAAAATCTGGCATGTTTGTGAATGTTTTGTTGTATAATATGTGCTTTTCTTAATTCTTTTAAACATGCAGTTAGGATAATTTGTTGTAAATGTGTTTGTGGCTTACCACGCATATTTGGTAAATTAACTTGCAGCATTTTATTATGGTTAGTGTGTGCATGTCCCTATCATTTTATTATTTAATTTGTGTATCTGATAAAATGCAGACTGTTGGACTTCTTTCCATGAACATAGGATATCAAATATGAAAGAGACTCTTGAAAGTGAATACTTGAATGAAAGACAGGGTGCTAGGTATTGAAAATTCCAGTTAAGAATGTTTTTGACCTCAGGTGGTTGTTCCATCAGAGACCAGATAGCCACTTAGGGTTGAATAGGTAATTCAGACATTGGCTAGAGACTACATACACTAGATAATATTAAAGGCAAATTTTCTTAGAACCTATGGTTTGTGACTCTCTTAGTGGATTTACTTGAGAATTAAAAAATAAAGAAAGGGAATTAAGAGTGATGAATATTTAAAAATAAGTAAATGTGCTGGCAGTTACTTAAAGTAGAATTTAAATTTTAGGGACATTGTAGAATAGACACTAGATTTGGATTGTGAATGAAACTTACATCAAATTGTATTGGTTAGAATGAAGCAGGATGTAATGTAATTAAAATTCTTAATAGGTGGATGTTCATTAAGTTGTCAGTTACCTTCTGCAAGTTATCCTTTTTGCTCTTCCTTTATTTATACATATAGCTCATCCTTCAGCATTGAGGTGAAAAAAAAGTTTGCCATATTTATAAAGAAATATGGTTTACTCATACTTATTAACAAACAAAGTGGTTTTGGGTTTAATTTGCCAAAGTACTTATTGCTGTAGAATGTTATATAGTTACTAGTCTAACAGACACTATAGGAGTGGGATACAGTCTAGCTGACTATAATAACAAGAATAAGAATCAAAGTTCTCAAGGCTGTACATTCACATAGTACTCTTGTTTAAAATAGATTCCACATGTATGACATTTGATGAAGTCATTTCTGGTAATCCATGTTAACAGGCATATTGAAACTTCCTATGGTACGGTAGTTCATGTAGCAAACCCTTTTGAGTTTCAGGTGATTAGGCATGGTAATTTAAGGAAAGACTGTCTTACTAGAAGGTGATTGTTAAGAATGTAATTCCTCTTTACCTTGTGGCCTCTTCAAGTTGACATATAAAATTAACCATGAGGGTCTGAGGCTGTAGCTTAGTGATAAAGTACTTACTTAGCCTGTGTGAGGCCCTGGGTTTGATCTCCAGCATTTGGGAGATATATATATATATATATATACATATATATATATGTATATATATATATGTATATATATATATATATGTGTGTGTGTGTGTGTGTGTATTTGGATTGTGAATAAAACTTAAACAAATTTATGTGTGTGTATATATATAATGTATACATGTATATATATAAAATCTCAAATAAATAAATAAATAAATAAATTTGCCCTTCAATAAACTTTCCTTTCAACATCTTTCTGCAGACAGATACAACACCAGGAATGGAATTACAATCATGGTATCCTGTTATAAAACAGGAAGGTGACCATGTTTCTCAGACACACTCTTTTTTACATCCCAGGTGAGTGGCATTTATTTATTTGTTGTTCATTCATCCATTTATTCATTAAATAGGTATCTGCCAGTTACTATTCTGGGAACTAGGAATTTACGGTATGATGTTAGGCTTTCTTGTTAATGGATTATCTGCAAAAATTCAAAATTGTTTCTAAGAAGGTACACTTGTATAAAATCACTGTTAAACCTATTGTATTCAACGAAGGTCTTTTGGGTACTATTAAATCTATTTGTGAAATTTTTTTTTTTTAGCAGAATACTGAGTTTTCAGATGTAGCGTTCATTAAATTGATAAAGAGGAACAATGTAGATGTCCTATACAATGAAAATGAGGTATAAGAGAGCATCTGAGGTTTAGGGGATAAAGTATTAGTTAAATGGTTGTATCTTTTCACTAAAGTTTATTTAGATTATAGTTAAAATATAGTTAAATATCTAGCTCAAATTTGTTCTATGAGCCTTGCAGATAATAGACTGAGCAATTTTATGTGAGCTGTGACCCAAAGTAATAGTTATTCTTTTAATCTTAATTTTTGAGATTTTTTATTCAGTTTTATCAAATAAGTAGGAAGTACTAGTTTTTTAAGTACTACTAAGATTGATCTGTGGAGTTTGCTACAAGGAGATTTCCTAGTACCTGGGCAGAATACATGGTCCCTGTTCTCTCTTTCTGAACTATAGAAGAAGGACCCTGGGAGCTCTTCACTGGACTAACATGGATTATGTCAGTCATGGAATGGGTGACTAAAACAGCCCCACTCTAGCAAAGAGCAAGGATTTGGGATGGTTGGTGGGCAAGTAGAGTATTAGTCAGCTTTTTCACCTCTGTGACAAAAATACCTGATAAGAACAGTTTATAGGAGGAAAATTTTATTTTGAGTGCACAGTTTCAGATGTTCAGTTCAGTCCATGGTCTTTGGACTCCATTGCTCTGGGCCCCAGTGAGACAGAACAGCATGGTAGAAGCTCTAGTGGAGGGGAGCTTTCAGGTCATGGCAGCTGGAAAGAAGACAGAGAGTGGGGAGCCAGGGGACAACCCCCAAGGGTATGCCTCCAATAGCCCATTTCTTCTAGCCATGTCTCACTTGCCTACAGTTACCACCCAATTAATCCTTTGAAATTATTAATACATTCAGTGAACCACCCACTTATTAGGTTATGGCTCTCATAATCTAAGCATTTCACATCTGAACATTCCTGCATTAACACAAGAGCTTTTCTGGGAACACCTCATATCCAAACTCCAAGAAGTAGCATATAGTCTGTTCTCTTTCTGGAGTAAACCTCACTTGCTACTCAGAACTATTCTGCAGCTCTGTGAAGTGCGGCATGCTTTTAGGGAAGGGGAAAAGACCCCCCCCCCACCAGTAAGTATCTCTTTAGTGTAAGAAATTACTTGCAGAATAACAAAACTTCCTTATAATTTGATTTTAATGCCTAAAATACTGATTTTCCCCCAAGAAATCTTTTTATGTGACCTGTTTTCTAAGTTGTTATATTGTATATTTTGGTAAAAAAAGAAATTGATTTTGACTTGTACCTAAATGTAATATGTAATATGTGTCTTATCTTGGTTTTCGTTATTTTCAGCTACTACTTATACATGTGTGATAAAGTGGTTGCTCCAAATGTCTCGCTTACTTCTGCTGTATCCCAGTCTAAAGAGGTCACAAAGACAGAGGCAAGTAAGTCCTTTTCAAGACAGCCAGAGAAGCCTCACATTAATAATAAACACCAAAAAACAGTGTCTTACCCAGATGTCTCACTTGAGGAACAGGAGAAAATGGATTTAAAAACAAATAGAGAATTATACAGTCGATTAGGTGAGTATTCAGGAATTATATTTAAAAATCAGATATCTAAAAAATGTATGCTTTTTACAGATAATTGAAACTTTTACCTTAAAAATGTCACCTTTCAAAACTCAGGGTGATTTCTGTACTTTTTTAGGATGAGTATAGCTACGGAAGCTAATGAGATAGATATTCATAGGCTATATAGTTTCATATTGCAAGTGATTTTAGTCATTTTTTTCATTCCTGCCTTTTCTTGCAGTCAGATTCTTTAGTAGGTTTTTTGTTTGTTTGTTTGTTGTTGGTATGGGGGATTGATCTCAGAGGTACTCAACCACTGAGCAACGCTCCCAGCCCCTTTTTGTATTTTATTTAGAAGTAGTGTCTCACTGAGTTGCTTAGTGTCTCATTAAGCTGCTGAGGCTGGCTTTGGACTCACAATCCTCCTGTCTCAGCCTCCCAAGCTGCTGGGATGACAGGTGTATGCCACCGTGCCTGGCTTTCCCCTTCCCCTTAACTTATTATGAATTTAGAAACCATTTAATGAACTTTCAGAAATAATACATAAATAACAGTGGTTAGATTTAGAGCCCAGAGAAACGTAAGTCATGGAATAAAACAAGGATTGAAAGTTATGGGAGCCAGCCAGATGGCATAAATGCGGAATGCTAACTGGTTATCTAAAAGAAAAAAAAAAAAACATTTTTTATCCACCATGCCTTTTAAAATACTGTGGACTAGGGCTGGGGTCGTGGCTCAGTGGTAGAGCGCTCGGCGGGGCCCTGGGTTCGATCCTCAGCACCACGTTAAAATAAAGGTATTATGTCCAACTACAACTAAAAAATAAATATTTTTTTTTAAAAACACTATGGACTGAATGAGACATGTCTACTCAAATACTACCTGTGTTATATTCCATGTAGAAGCACAGCTTTGCTTAGTGCTTAGGCAGTGTGACAGTTATTTTAGCTGCTTTGGAACACTTGGAGAGGCCTCATTTAACTGTTTTCACAGAGAATTGAGATTCTTGAGAAATTTCTATACTTTAATACTTTGAGGATTTTTTTTTTCAAATGGTACTGGGGATTGAAATATGCATTTTGTGCTTGCTTACTACTGAGTTACATACCCAGCCCTGATTTTGAGATTTTCAAAACTTAGTTTTCTTTGCATTATAATGCAAATTTAATTAATTAATTAATTATATTTCTTAAATTCTAGTGATTTTTTAGAACCTAGTTGAGATATAATTTCCATACTAAGGTTTACTCCTTTAAAGTGTTCAGTTTAGTGGTTTTTAGTAAATCACAAAGTTTTGCAGCCATCACAACTATTTAATTCCAGAACATTTTCATCACTCTAAAAGGAAATTCTTTTATCCTGTAGTCTTTGGCAGTCACTAATTTGTTTCTGTCATATGGATTTGCCTATTCTAGACATTTCACGCTAAAATAATCATATAATGTGGGTTGGTGTTTGACTTCTTTCACTATTTTTTCAGAATGTGTTGCATGTATCAGTACTTTTCTTTTTATGGCTTAATATTCCATTTTATGGAGATATCATATTTTATTTATCCTTTCAGTTGATTGATAGTTGCATTTTGTCTAGTTTTCAGTTAATATAAATATTGCTATTGTGCAAACTGTGTACAAGTTGTAGTGTGGACATGTTTTCAGTTCTTTTGAGTAAACATGTAGTAGTAGAATTGCTGGATCATGTGGTCAAATATGTTTACATATTCAGGGACAGTCAAACTTTTCCAAGCACCTGTATTATTTTATATTCCTGTTAGTAGCTTGTGAGGGTTTTAATTTCTGCACATCTTTTTGTCAGTACTTGTTTTTGTCTGTCTTTCAATTAAGCCATTGTAGGTTGTGAAGTGGTATTTCATTGCGGTTTTGATTTGTAATTCACCAACTACTAATGATGTTGAGTATCTTTGTATTTTTCTGGACATTGTGTATTTTCTTTGGAGAAAAGTCTTTTCAAATTCTTTGCTTATTTTTAGATTGGGTTATCTCTTCACTATTGAGTTGTAAGAGTTCTTTAGGTATTTAGGATACTAGATCCTTATCGCATATATAATTTGCTATTTTGTGAGTTTTCTTTTTGCTTTCTTGTTAGTGACCCTTGAAGCATAGCAGTTTTTAGTTTTTGTGAAGTCCAATTTATTTTCTTTGGTTACTTGCTTTAGGTTTCATATCTAAAAAAAACATTGCCTAATCCAGGGTTAGGAAGATTACATTTAAGAGTTGTAGCTCTTACAGTTAGGTCTTCACTCCATGTTAATTTTTATATATGGTGTGAGGTCCAGTCCTATTCATTTGCAAGGGAATACAGTTTCACATTTGTTGAAAAGACTATGTTTGCTTGATAACATTGTCTTTGGCACCCTAGTCAAAAAATGATTTCCTACAAAAGTATGGATGTGTTTATTTCTGGACTCAGAATTTTTTTCCTACTAATTTGTCTGTTCTTAGGCCAGTATTTCCAACAATCTTCGTTTTTGTAACTTGAGCTTTGAAATGGGGAGTTGAGTCCTCCAACTTTATTATTATTTTTAGGATTGTTTTGGCTATTTTGGATTCCTTGAATTTCCATGTGAATCTTAAAATATGCTTGACAGTTTCTACAAAACAAAAACAAAAACAAAAACACAACCTGAATGTTTTGATAGGGGTGCATGAGTCAGTCAATTTAGGGAGTACTGCTATTTTAATATTAAGGTCTTCAGTCACGAACATGGGATATCTTCCCATGTATTCAGATTTTTAAAAATTTTTTTTTTATTTTTTAGTTTTCGATGGACACAACATCTTTATTTTTATGTGGTGCTGAGGATCAAACCCAGGGACCCGCGCATGCCAGGCGAGCACGCTACTGCTTGAGCCACATCCCCAGCCCCTGTATTCAGATTTTTTATTACTTTAGGTGATGGTTCATAAGTCATTGTACAAATCTTTCTTGTGTTAAATTTATTAAGTGTTTTGTTCTTTTGATTTGTAAATAAACTTGTTTTCTTAATTTGATTTATGGATTGTTCTAGCGACTTTTAAAACAGTGATATTCATACCTTATTTGATTTTTTTTTGTCCTCTCAAAGATCCATTGGTCTCACATAATTCTACAAGTAAAAAGAAATCAGAGTCTGCTACTTGCGCAAGAGACACAAGCAAGCATGATGAAGCTTCATCTTCATTTCTTGTCAAAGATGTTATTTGTGAGGATGATAAGGGGAAAATCATGGAAGAAGTAATGAGAACTTATGTAAAACAACAGGAGAAGCTAAACTCAATTTTGCAAAAGAAGCAACAACTTCAAATGGTAAAATTATTATCTAAGATAATAAAATTATTATCTAATTATTATTTTCACAATGGTACATTGTGAAAAAAATATTTTTGCATATTATTAATAAGGAAAGTGAAGATGGGGTATTGCAAATGTACTTAAGATCGTTCAGAGTTGACACCGATAAGCAATTTTAACATACTTTAAATTTTTTAAAGAAAATAGATTTTCAAGAGAATTCTATATAGAGCTAATAAGATAGTTGGAATTTAGGTTTGTTTTTCTTTCTTTTTTCTTTTCTTTTCTTTTTTTTTTTTTTTGGTGGTACTAGGGATTGAACTCAAGGCCCTTTACCACTAGCAATGTCTTCAGCCCTTCCAATTTTTAATTTTGAGACAGGGTCTCACTAAATTGCTGAGGCTGACCTCAAACTTGTGATCCTCCTGCCTCAGCATCCTAAATAGCTGGAATTAGAGGCATGTGCTACCATGCCCAGCTTTAATATTTTCTGAACTGAAATTTTTAAACGATAGAAATAAAGTAAAAATTATATTGTGATTGTTTATGTTATAGGAGGTGGAAATGTTAAGTAGTTCAAAAGCTATGAAGGAACTCACTGAAGAACAACAGAATTTGCAGAAAGAGCTTGAATCTTTGCAGAATGAACATGCTCAACGAATGGAAGAATTTTATGTTGAACAGAAAGACTTGGAGAAAAAATTGGAGCAGGTAATGAAGCAAAAATGTACCTGTGACTCAAATTTAGAAAAAGACAAAGAGGCTGAATATGCAGCACAGGTAAGAATTATTCAGTTTGTATGAAGATGCTCTTTCAGCATGGAAGTGGAAACTATTTCTTCTGTATTAAAGGAATTCCTTTTTGTTAAGTTCATTTTGCTAGGCTAGATTTCAAAATAGATAATTCTGCTAAGTGCAACTTCATGCTGTTATTGTCTCAAGATAGTTTTTTGACCTTTGTTACTTTCTTACTTTAAACTTTTATTGTGTTTCTGTAAATTTAATTACCTAAATCATTAATCTCAAGTTCCCTGAATATAAAATTTTATATTTTAATTTTATCCAAATATAAAATTTGGACTGGGATGTAGCCCAGTGATAGAGCACCCACTCAGCATGCCTGAGGCCCTGGGTTTGATCCAAAGCACCATAAAATTAATAAACAAACATCTTAATGTAGTATTTGGACTTTCAAATCAACAAATTAATAAGCCTTAACTGTTTCCTACCATATTCAGAAGCAGTGGAGGCAAAAAAATAAATAAATTTTTTTTGTTAATAGTAGCTAATAATACAGGGAAGATGAACAATCACGTTGTGATAGGGAGATATAGTAAAGTGTAGGGCATTTTGCAAGTACAATGAAGGTGTTCTTTCCTTTTGATCCTTTGCTTTTTCCTCAATGTTGTGTCAAATTAAAAGTATTAGATATTCAAGGGGATTGTGACATGTATGAAATAGTTAACTTTTAAAAAAGTAATTTGAAAATAGGTTTTTACCATGATAGAAAGATTAAATTGAAAAATAAAACTGAAAGAAAACTGACAAAGCCTTTTAAATCACACAGTTGGCAGAGCTGAGACAGAGATTGGACCATGCTGAGGCTGATAGGCAAGAACTCCAAGATGAACTCAGACAGGAACGGGAGGCAAGACAGAAGTTAGAGATGATGATAAAAGAGCTAAAGCTGCAAATTTTGAAATCATCAAAGACTGCTAAAGAATAGAAACCATGAAAGAGATTCATTTGTGTATTACTGACAGGGTTTTTTGTTTGTTGCTTGCTTTGGTGATTGAATCCTGAACATCTTATCTGCATGAAGATAAATAGGCTTTCTGTCCATTTGTAGATCAGAGAAAGTGAAGAGATTATATATTAGTACATAAATTTTTACATTTTCCAAATGAATGAAATGTATGTTTCTTTGTACTTTTTTTTCACTCAGCTTGTTAACAGTAGTATATGGTTTCAACTAGTAGATAATTACCTATATTTCTATTGCAAAATTAATAATTGTATACTTTTTAAAAGCTGCATTATGTGATGGAAAATAGTGATCAATTTTGTTTATCCATATTTCAAACTCAACTTTAGATAAAATGGTGGTATTATAATTCAAATATGTAACATAGAACTACTTGAGGAGTTGAGTCTCCATTTTTCTCACCAACACAAACTCCTTTCTGAATTGATATAGTACATTCATTATTATATGCAAAATTTGCTTTTACTTTGTTCAGATTGTGGAACTGAATTTCCACCAGTTTTCTTTTTGGTGTCTTCTAAGAGGAATTTCATTGATGAAGTTATAGCCCACCCTTGTACACAATGGGCAAAGATAACATGCTTTGTTAGTTATGCTTTGCTGCTAAACACAAGAAGCATTGTAATTTGTCTTTCAATTTAAATGTGATTATATTTAGAATTTTTTTGTAGTGACTTCAGAAAAATAATTTCTGAGCTTTTTAATGGTGTTAATAGTGGTGTGAAAATTAATATTAATGTTCTTGAGAAAACTGATTCCATTAATGTACATTGGTTTCTATACAATCCATAATCCTGTACAGTTTTTATATGTAGTTATGGGTCTTTACTAAAATTTATATAATGGATTTGTTTTTCTTTAAATTATAAAATATTAAACACCTTGAAGGTTATTTTGGACTTTTGTATGTTTAAATGTTATCTTACCAAATTTGCACGAATGGACCATTTTCAATTGCTCTTTGATATCAAAATCAGGAATTTACAGTAAACTGCTAGTATCTGATAGGTTAATATAGGTCAGTTTAGTTATCTGCTACTGAAAGTTTTCTGGATAATTTTTAGATGGCAAAGGAATTTCAAATTTTGGGGAAGGGCAACATCTGCACTTTTTTTTTTGCACAAGAAGTCTAAAAAATGTTTTTAATAGCAAATCTCACAGTAGTTAGTTTTTTTGTTGTTGAAGTTATTAAGTAAAATTCTCAATATTAAGTTTTCTGAAGGAAGATTGATTACTATTCCATGAGTTTTTTGTTTTTCATGTTCTCATAAGGTACTATATGAAATTACTGAAGAGATCTAAATTTATTTTAAAAATAAATCAGCTAGAGTTAAAGTTACATACTATTTTCAGCACAGAAGGCTTATACTCTAATGGTATAGAATTTCAAAAATTTACTAGGTTATCATTTAACTAGTTATTTTCATATTTTGCTTAATGGTACTCATATATCCAAAAAGAATTTTTGTACTTCACAAAATGTAGTTTATTTTCTATATAATGTGTGATTTTCATTTGAGCTTTACTGTGTTAACCCTATAGCTTAATTGGTTGATTCTTGAAATCTCCTCAAGGAGGAACAATGTGAAAATGACAAGCAGAAATATGTTAAAAATGATATATCCTCCCAGTGCCATTGATTTAGATCTGGAGAAAGAAGAATCACAACATTTATAATATTGTTTTATTTTAGCTGTGAATTAGTTTTGTCATAACTCAGCTTTTTGGTAGATATACTCAAGCACCTATAATTTCATTTATTTTTTCAATTCCCTCAAAACCTTTCTGCTTATGTTACTTAGTAAATTATAAGCTTAACCTAAGTTTCAACCCAAAACTTCTAAAATAAATTGCTTAATCTTTGAAATGGGTTACTTTAGAATTCTAAGTGGTAACACCATTAAATTATTTATAAATTCTTGATTTAAAATTGAGTAAAGAAATATTTTTTATAGTCCTTCATGTAATAAAACTTGCCATATGACATATAGTCTTTGTTTTCCAGAAGATTCATTGATGTGCCATACGTTTCTAACTTTCTTGAAAATAGTTTTCTAGTCAATTGTAAATATACCTGTTATTGTTAAAAGTAACTTTAAGTTAAATTGCACCATATAGCTTGAAAACAATGTAGAAGTTTTTGTAATACTTTTAAAAGTGACCTCTGCTGAAGTATCTTATCCATATAAAACTTATTATTCTATGCTTTGCATGCTTTTGTGTGCTGATTGCTAGCTTAGTTTGTTTTGGTGTTAGTCTTTGTGTGCCAAGTTCACTTGCAAGCAGATTTTTCCTCAGATTTCATAATATTATTCTTTTTAGGAGAAATAAAAATGTTTAAAAAGCTGCGTTAAAAGATCAGCCTATAAAGAATTTTGGTAGAGCATCTTTAGAAGGAAAAGAGACAATTTTAGCTTACTGGGTGATGAGTGATTTTTAATTTGATTAGTGATAGCGTATCTATAATCTAAACTTTATGAAAAAAATGTACCAAATCTATAAAGGTATTAAATGGAAAACCTCCTGCTGTCGATGAGGAAGCTCTTAAGCCACCCTAATTTCACAAATGGCAACTTCTAACACTATGAAAAGTTTGACCAACCAACATAAGTTTGGCTTGTGCTTTAATTTTTGTAAAGCATATTCTTTTGCTTAAATTTCTGTGTCCATGAAAATTAGGATGTTTTATTCTTCTTGAACTAATTTTATAGCATATTTAATATATTACCAGTTTAGATAAAATCATTTGTATATATTGAATTATAAAACAAGTAAAGTAGGTGAAATAGACCAAGTACTATGATATTTGCAGGTTATCTATATCTTTTAGAAGACATGACAGAACAACCAATTTGTTTGCACATCTGTGGCTTCTGTTTGAAGGAAAATAAAAGGACAAGGAAACTCAAGTAATATAAAACAGGCTCAAAGTATTTCCCTAGAATTAATTGCAAAGCTAATACTGAAGATTTTGCTCAGCTTCTGAAATTTTCTTCTTAATGATAAGATGTTCTGATTACTTACAGAAGAATGCTCACTTTTTTATTTGCCCTTTATGCATTTAATCCACATGACAGGACATTAAAATTACTATAATGAAACATTGTGCTCATACTGTACATCTATTCCTGTGCTTGGAACTACTTGTTAATAGTTTTTATTGAAGCTATCAGCAATAAGGGACATACAGCTGTTGTATTATATGTTGGTAAATTGAATAAAATGCTTAAAATTTTCTTTTTCTAGCATAGAATACTTAAGCCTTTCCACTATTGGAAGAAAAGCATATGGGTATTTTATAATGCATCTTCTTTAAAAGGACAGTCTTTTTCTTTTTTTGTAAAATCTTTCCACTTAACTGGCTTCTAAACAATATAATGCAGTTTGAAGCCTGCTTAGGAATAGAATTAAATGTCTTATGTAGTGCTACTGTTTTTCAATTAGAAATGTAAAAAAAAAATTTTTTAAATGAAGCCCAGAAAACAAAGTAGTTTAATATAAAATGAATTTATAAGATTTTTTTTTCTTCAATAGAGATACCTCACTTGAAAATAAAGCACAGCATACTTAAAGTAGTTCTAGTAAAAGCATCCTACTAAATTAATTGCTAAGTCTAGGACATTTTTTGGGGAAATTAGAATTTGTGAAAAATAAAATATACTTGCTTTTAACTATCTTGTTAGGAGTACTTGTTTATCCTGATAATTTTATGCCAAAATAGTAGTCTTAAATTATTTCTGAATTTTTAACCTGTGAAGGCAGTAAATGAATTAACTGTTCTGCAACTGTTGAAACAAATTGTTAAATATATTGACCATAATTCAATTTATAATTTTGCCAATGATGTACAGTTTTATGATTAAAATTGCTGTGGTTGGTTGCATTACATGACACACAAAACTGTCCTCTACCTCACGTGAAATAAATATTTTATATGGTTTTACTAAAAAAATGACTCATCTATCTGGTCACTTAGTTTACAAATTTTGAATTATATTTATTGAAACATGACATACTGTGCTCTTAGCTTATACCTCAATTGTATTTTGTGCTGTTTTCCATTTTCATGTCTTGTAAATAACTTGTATAGATTGTGGATCAAATTCCAAATAAAAACTTTTAATGCCAATGAAATTTGATTCAAGTCATCTCAGTATCCTGTGTTAAACAAGCTACCTTGTATTCTATAATTGATATTCTTTTTCTTTTTTTTTTTAAACAGGGAGAGAGAGAGAGAATTTTATTTTATTTTATTTTTAAAGAAGAGAGAGAGAGAGAGAGAACTTTTAATATTTATTTTTTTTTTTTTAGTTTTCGTTTGTTTTTTTTTTTTTTTTTTTTTGTGGTGCTGGGGATTGAACCCAGTGCCTTGTGCATGTGAGGCAAGCACTCTACCAACTGAGCTATATCCCCAGCCAGCTTGAAAGCCTTTTTAAAAATAAAATGGAATTTTATATAATATTTCAGGTGGTGAAATAATCAGCAATTTGTCATCATTCTATTTCATGATACTTGAACTCTTCACCTTAGCATCTTTTTTCCTCACCCCAGGTATAAATTATTGCTACATTAACAGATCACCCTCAAATTTGGCAGCTTAAACAATAAGTGTCATAGAGTATCTGAGAGTCAGAAATTTAGAGCCTAGCTCTTTATACGGATGTTACCTGAGGCTAAAATCATTTGAAAACTGGATTGTGCTTAAGGACCTGCTTCTGAGCTCTCATGTGGCTGTTGATTGGCACTCAGTTCCTGACTGTGGATGTGTCCATACAGCTCTTCAGGACACGGTGTTCAAATTACCCAAATGAGTGATCCAAAAGAAAGCAGTGCCACAATTTATGACCTGAACTGGCACATACTGTCCTTCCCCCTCCTTTTTTTTTTTTTTTTTTTTGCGTTATCCTGTTAGAAGTGGGTCACTGAGTCCAGCATATATTCCATAGGAGAGTGTTATATAAAGGTACATATAGCTAGAGGCAGGGACCATTTGGGGCCACTTAAAATGTAGCTACAAAACCTTCCACATTTTTAACTCTTTTTGGTGATATATATAACAAAACCATTTTAACCATTTTTTTTTTACTGTACAATTCAGTATCATTGAGTACATTTGCAATGTTGTGCAACTATCATCAAACATTTTCATCATTCCAAACAAATTCTATACAAGTAACTGAATCTTCAACATCTGATACATGTTTATTCTACTTTTTGTTCCTGAATTTGCCTATTCTGGACACAAGTGGAATAAAAATATTTGTCCTTTGTGTCTACCTTATTTCATTTAGCATGATGTTTTCAAGTTATATCATGTTGTTGCATGTGTTAGAATTTCATTTAATGACTAATACGCCATTGTATGTTTGTACTCCATATCTATTCATCTGTTGATGGACACTGGATTGTTCCCACTTTTTAACAGTGTGAATGATGTTGCTATTAATATCGGTATACAAACATCTACAGTAGTTAAGTTCCTGCTTTTTGAGTACAGACCCAGGAGTGGAATTACTGTATCCAATAGTAATCCTTTTTTTTTTAAAAAAAAAATATTTATTCTAATTTGTTATACATGCCAGCAGAATGCATTTCAATTCATAGTACACATATAGAGCACAATTTTTCGTTTCTTTGGTTGTACACAAAGTAGAGTCACACCATTTGTGTCTTCATACATGTACTTAGGGTAATGATGTTTATCTCATTCTACCATCTTTCCTATCCCCTACCCGCTCCCTTCCCCTCTCTCCCCTTTACCCTATCTAAAATCCCTTCATTCTTCCCATATTCCTCCACCCATCCCCATTATGGATCAGCATCTACATATCAGAGAAAACATTCGGCATTTGTTTTTTTGGGATTGGCTAACTTCACTTAGCATTATGTTCTCCAACTCCATTCATTTACCTGTAAATGCCATGATTTTATTTTCTTTTAATGCTGAATAATATTCCATTGCATATATATACACCACATTTTCTTTTTCTATTCATCTACTGAAGGGCATCTAAGTTGGTTCCATAATTTAGCTATTGTGCTACTATAAACATAGATGTGGCTGTGTCCCTCTAGTAACCTGTTTTTAAGTCCGTTGTCTAGACCAAGCAGTGAGATAGCTAGGTCAAATGGTGGTTCCATTCCCAGTTTTCCAAGGAATCTCTATACTGCTTTCCAGATTGGTTGCACCAATTTGCAGTCCCATCAGCAATTCATGAGTGTGCCTTTTTCCCCACATTCTCTCCAACGTTTATTATTGTTTGTATTCTCGATAGCTGCCATTCTGACTGGAGTGAGATAAAATCTTTTTTTTTTTTGATTTGCATTTCTCTAATTGCTAGAGATGTTGAACTTTTTTTTATGTTTGTTGATTGTTATTCTCTTCCAAGAAGTGTTTGTTCAGTTCCTTGGCCCATTTATTGATTGGGTGATTTGTTTTTTTGGTGTTTAGATTTTTGAGTTCTTTATATATCTACAGATTAGAGCTCTATCTGATGTATGTGTGGCAAGATTTGCTCCCATTCTGTAGGCTCTCTATTCAACTCACTGATTGTTTCAACATTGTAAAAGCTATGTATGCTAAGCCCAAGGCCAACATCATTCTAAATGGAGAAAAATTGAAAGCATTCCCTCTAGAAACTGGAACCAGACAGGGGTGCCCTGTTTTACCACTTCTCTTTAACATAGTCCTTGAAACTCTAGCCAGAGCAATTAGACAAAAGAAATTAAAGGGATACAGCTAGGAAAAGAAGAACTCAAACTACCACTATTTGCTGACAACATGATTCTATACCTAGAGGATCCAAAACATTCCACCAGAAAACTTCAAGAACTAATTAATGAACAAGGGAGGGAAATGAATTACAGTAGGTGGGGTAGAGAGAGAAGATGGGAGGGGAGGGGAGGGGAGGGGGGATAGTAGAGGATAGGAAAGGCAACAGAATACAACAGACACTAGTATGGCAGTATGTAAAAACGTGGATGTGTAACCAATGTGATTCTGCAATCTGTATACGGGGTAAAAATGGGAGTTCATAATATGCTTGAATCAAATGTATGAAATATGATATGTCAAGAGCTTTGTAATGTTTTGAAAAACTAATAATAAAAAAAGAACTAATGAATGAATTTAGCCAAGTAGCAGGACATAAAATCAACATCCATAAATCAAAGGCATTTCTATACATCAGTGACAAATCCTCTGAAAGAGAAATGAGGAAAACTACCCCATTTACAATAGCCTCAAAACAAAAACAAAAACAAAAAACTTGGGAATCAACAAAAGAGGTGAAAGACCTCTACAATGAAAACTACAGAACACTAAAGGAAGAAATGAAAGAAGACCTCAGAAGATGGAAAAATCTCCTTTGTTCTTGGATAGGCAGAATTAATATTGTCAAAATGACCATACTATCCAAAGCTCTATACAGATTTAATGCAATTTCAATCCAAATCCCAATGACATTCCTCATAGAAATAGAAAAAGCAGTCATGAGATTTATCTGGAAAAATAAGAGACCCAGAATAGCTAAAGCAATCTTCAGCAAGAAGAGTGAAGTAGGTGACATCACTATACCAGATCTTAAACTATACTACAGAGCAATAGTAACAAAAACTGCATGATAGTGGCACCAAAATAGACTTGTAGACCAATGATACAGAATAGAGGACACAGAGACTAATCCATATAAATACAGTTATCTCATATTAGGCAAAGGCACCAAAATATATATTGGAGGAAAGATATCCTCTTCAACAAATGGGGTTGGGAAAACTGGAAATCYATATGCAGCAAAATGAAATTAAGCCCCTATCTCTCACCATGCACAAAGCTCAATCCCTGGATCAAGGACCTAGGAATTAAATCAGAGACCCTGCACCTAGTAGACGAAAAAGTAAACCCAAATCTTCCTCATGTCGGATTAGGCTCCGACTTCTTTAATAAGACTCCTATAGTGCAAGAAATAAAATCAAGAATCAATAAAGGGATGAATTCAAATTAAAAGCTTTTTCTTAGCAAAAGAAACAATCAAATGGTAATTCTACATTTTACTTTTTTGGGGAACTGTCAAACTGCTCCACAGGACTGTATCATTTCACATACCTATGAATGCAGGAGGGGTCCAGCTTCTTCACATCTTTGCTAGCATGTGTTGTTTTTCCCATTTGATCAATAATTATGCAAAGTGCTATTTTCATTGTGGTTTGACTTCCACTTTTGTGGTCACTGTGATGTTGAACATGTTTTCATGTGTTTATTGGTCATTTGTAAACCTTCTTTGGAGAGATTTTCTACTTCTAATATTGATTTCTAGTTTCTATTGTGGTTGGAAAAGACCACTTGTAGGATTTCAGTCTTTTAAAATTTATCAAGACTTGCTTAATGTTCTATTTTGGAGACTCCTGTGTGTATTTGAGAAGTATATTCTATTGTTGGGTAGAATGTTCTGTATGTCTGTGGGGTCTGATTGGTTGATTGTGTTAAGTCCTCTATTTCTTTCCTGGTTTTTCGTTGGCTTTTATATCCATTCTTGAAATTGGGATGTTACAGTCCCCAACTATTGTAGAGCCATCTATTTCTCTTTTCAATTCTGTCAATGTTTGCTTCATATGTTTTGGGGTTCTGTGGTTGATGCACACGTTTATTATTCTTATATATTGTTTTTTTGGGGGGTATTGGGGATTGAACTTAGGGGCTTGACCACTGAGCCACTTCTCCAGCCCTATTTTGTGTTTTATTTAGAGACAAGGTCTCACTGGGTTGCTTAGCGCCTGGCTTTGAACTCTCAATCCTCTTGCCTCAGCCTCGTGAGCTGCTGGGATTACAGGTGTGTGCCACCATGCCCAGCAATTCTTATTCTTGATGATTGATCCTTTTATTAATAAACAATATCCTTTGTCTCTTGTAATAGATTTTGAATGAGTCTTATATTACTATAGCCACCTTAGTTCTTTTTTGGTTACTATTTTCATAGAATATATTTTCCCATCCTTTGACTTTTACATCATCATCCCACTTCCGCCCAATCTTTTATTTGTGGTATTGGAGTCAGATCCAGGGCCTTGCACATGTCAGGCAAGCACCTACCATTGAACTGCATTGTCTGCCCTTTTGA